TCGAATTGAGCTCTTGTATCGATCAAAACCGCATTGATCATGGGCGAGCATCGAATTATAATAGTTGAGCCTTCCTCCAGGTGTAGGATTACACATTGATTTCCACCCAAGCCTCTTTCTTCCTTATCGTTGGAACTTCTTCGACGAAATTCAGAGCTTGAGAGCTCAAGCTTGGATCCGAGAATCAAACACCCTCGTTGGGGGTTATCACCCCCCACAAGATGGACCTCCTAATCTAGTCCATTGCTCCTAACCCTTCTTTTTTTCGTGAATCGGAGGAGGCTGTTCAGCGCTCAGCGAAGCAAACAAAGTGGGTTGAGCAAGTTTGTGCACAGCTTGCTCAAGACCTCCTTTCTGCTTCCATACAAGAAGAGGAAGAGGATGAAGAAGGCTACGAAGACATTGTAGAGAAGACGGAAGTTTTCAAAGAGAGATCTCGTGATGATCATGATCAAGAATGTCCTGTTGTAGCCGACCACGCCTTTCCCCGTTACATCTCGAGTTGTGAAGAGACAAGCATGAGCCAGGAGATGAAAGATGATTTCATGGAAGAAATTGCTTGGCGACATGCTCTCCAATCTGTGTTGGAAAAGAAGAGGGAGATATGGTGAGGAAAGAAGTTGTGGAGGTTGAGGAAGAAAGCAAAGAAGAGGGAGTTCATGATCTTTTCCAAGGGGAGGAATCAAATTACGAGGAAGGAAGGGGGGTCGAAAAATCAATTGGCGTCCAGGTTGAGAACGAAGTTAAGGTGGAAGAGGCTTGCACCGACCCTATGTTACAAGTAATATCTCCACCAAACTTTGAGGAGCTGCATGGCAGGGACCCGTTTGAAGTATTTTTTTGCCAGACCAAGGCCACATTGACATCGGTTCCTCTTGGTGGACGTGATGGTGGTCAATCAATGTTGTCATATCTGGTTTGGGACAATGAGACGAGAGAGAGAGAAGGAGAGGTCTCGAGGGTGGAGACTTCATTTGAATCAAGTGCACGAGCCTTCATCACATGCCATACCTCATGCTCGTGACTTGAGATGCCACTTCATCGATGAGAACCTCAACTTCAAGTAGGTGTTGGGGTGGACAGAAACTTAAGAGCCACCGTCCGGCTCACGACGTGAAAGAAGCGCTTGTTGGAAGGCAACCCAACCAGTCGGTTTGCACTTTCTTTCCCTTTGCTCTTCGGTTGAGTCAGTTTGTCTTTTGATTTTAGAGTCAATAACTCAACCTTTGTGAGATTTTGTGTGGTGTTTGTGTTCCGACTACTCTCTCTACTTTCTCCCATGGACACCGCCTGCCACGTCCACCATCATTCACACTTGATCTGTTAACTTCGTTCTACCCTCCTTATCTTTCCTCCATTGAGGACAATGCCATTCTTAAGTGTGGGGGGATGTTCCATTATGTTTGCGTGTGAATTTTTTGGTTGTTTGTGTGTGCTTGGAGCCTAGTCCACTGTCCAAATTTCGATTTGAGGGCTCCAGGTACGTGTTCCTTGCAATCATCGGCTCAATACGCTTTGAATTGACAGTCTTTATATTAATATGCAACCTAGGAAGGTGGTGTAGCACTATGGAGGATGTTGATGCATTGAGAAGTCTCCTTTCTTCTTCATATTGTGTTGGTTGATTGTGTGAATTAGTGGTCTAAGGACACTTGAATCATTTGGTATAGATGACTCTCTCCCTGTCATGGACTCCCGTATCATGTTTTGAAAATGGTGCTCTAAATTCTGCTTTTAAAGTAACGTCTCCCCTGTGGAAATCGGTGAAAGTGTGTAAGGGGAGACGAGAATCCGTTCCCAACTTCCACCTACTACCTCCAGCCCCCTTACACCTCTTTCCCCCACACGAGACTTGAGACATCTGCTCCCTGCATGATCGGTAAGAGCCGGTCCCGGCATGGTCGGTAAGATCCAGGCTCCCTCAAAACCTTGGCTAGGTGGGAGCCCCATTTTCTGAAAATAACACGTTGGAATCCTTGCAAAAAGAAAAGAAAGAAACAAGAAAAAAAGGAAGAAAAGGGGGTTCCAAACATCCTAAAAAAAAAATAGAGCAGCTATAAACTTGAGTCCATGATTCCTTCTGGTTTTTAGAGTCTCTTTGTCTACGAATCATTTGTCCTCCGATCACTACTTGGCATGATCCTGTCTCGGGACTAGAGTTCTCACCGAAGAAGCTAGGGGGTGTCTTGTGCGTTGGTTGACCTCGTAAGCTGTTAATGATCTAGGAAGTCATCTACCGACGATCGGGGTTGCACGTGCTATGGAGGTCTGGATATTTGCATTGGTTTGAGCCAGGTTTGCTTTGGGACAAACAAGCGATTAAGTGTGGGGGGATTTGATGACTCGATATTTGCAAATGTTTTTCCCTTTCTTTCTTGATCGTTTAACTTGGAAATTGATCGTTCCTTGGACTATTTTATGCTAGTTTGTCTTTCTTTATCATATTTCAGGTCCTAGCACATAAAGTGAAGCATAGGCGCAAGTTTCAAGTCAATCGGAGATCAATTGGCGACTCGGGGGGAGAAACTCGGGCATGACTTGAGAAAGAATGGATTTCTACCTCATTTTATTGACAAAGAATCACGTAAGCTTGTCATGAAAATAAATAGGACGAGACTACGAGCATCTGAGATCAAACGACACCTGAATCGGAGGTCAAACGAGCTCAAATGAGCTCAACAAAGCTTAGGAGTGCATGCTGGAAATTGTGCACGGCCGTGTAAAATTGTGCACGGTCGTGTAATATTGTGCACGGCCGTGCGAGTTTTCCAAGAGGTTTGCACGACCAAAACCTCAATTTGTACGGTTGTGCAAGTCGGGGGTGCGAATTTCAGCGGGTATAAAGGTTGTTTTGCGATTTTTGGAGAGAGAGAGAGAGCTGGATTTTGGTTCCCAAACACCCAAGGGACGAACCAAAGAGTGAGAGGACGATTTGAGGCTGTTTTTTGAGCATTGGAAGCTCGAGGAACAAGCTCGGACTTCAAGACAGATCATTCGAAGATTCTTACTGCAGTCTCTCTCTTCTCTATGGAGTAACTTCCCTTCACTTAGGTTTTGAGGCACCCTAGCCATGTTTGTTTGATTGGATGATTGTATGAGTACTCCTACTTGATAATCTTGAGTCATATTCAATCTATGCATGTTTTCATGATTCAATTATGCTTTAGTCGAGATTATTGATTCTGCTTTGATCCTATGAGAGAGAATACCTGATTAGGCCAATAGAGCATCATAGATTGATAGTACTGGATCGATTGCTTTAGTCAAGGGTCGATTCACTGCTTTGTATTGATTGAGAGCCTCATTCAATAGAGGGAATCTAGTTCAGAACGCCTTGATCAGTTGTTCTAAAGAAGGATACGTCCCTCTAGAAAATCGACTTAAGAGGGCATTGACTTCTTTAGTCGAGATTCAAGGTCTAGTCAAGGATTCTCCGCATTGTGAATGAAAGTGAAACAAGTTAGAAATCATCAATCATTAATCTAGCTAGTGACTAGGGGGAATCATACTTAAGTGAGTTCCCAACCTGTAATTACATTAACATTAACTGTTTGCTAGAGTAGTTTAGTTCTTTAAACCTGAATATGATTTGCTAGATAATAAACCAAAGTTGAGTAATAGTAAATCTAGAGACCCGAAGATTCGATATATATGACTTGCACCACTATATTGCAAATCATAGATTGATAATAAACTGAAGCTGAGTAATAGTAAATCTAGAGACCCTTTCATTGGTTACACTTGGCCATTGTTAAAAGTTGTGTTTTAGCGACTAGCGATTCAGTTACGAAAAATACTTTTTTTTTTATAAAAACCATCGGTCAATCAAATGAAAATATGTAAGAATCTCCAAATTAAAACATTAATGATAAAATTATAAGCAAGGTTGTTAAACCCTTATCGAACCTCCGGTTGGACCCGAGTCGGGCTTCAAAACGGCCTCCAGAAAGCCCCCGGTCTGACCCCTAAAGAGGGAGAAGAAGAGAGGGGGAAGAGAGGAAGAGGAACAAAGGAAGGGAGATGGTAGGTGGGTCAAGGAGGTTAGGTTGATTTATTTTGTAAAAAATAAGTTTTTAATAGATATATGTAAGATATATTTTATTTCAGTTATTAAATCTTTAATTACTATATTATTTGTATATATATTTAGAAAATGTCTAAAATGGCTCAAACCGGGCGAACCCCAATTAGACCATTAAACCTCGAACAGTGGCGGAGCCACGTCTAAGGGAGGGGGGTGCATGCAGCCCCCTTGGCTGTGGGCAAAAAAATAAACTTCAATATATATAGTGGGAGATGGGGATCGAATCTTTGATCATATGATATACAATAAACAATCTCAGCTAGAAGAGGATTTTAATTTATTCGACACACATTTACTTATATCAAAGTTAATTATCTGTCCTAATATCAAAACACTATCGTCAATCCCAGCAAGTTAGAAACCCCCCAATTTCATTTTCGTTTTCCTCTACCCAGCAGCAGCTGAGGCGCTGCAAGTGCACTGGCCGACCTCCAAGCTTCCATCCTCCAACGGCAGCGAGTCCACCCTCCAAGCTCTCCATCTCCGGAAATGGAAGAGACGAAATCACGAGGTAGCAAGCTGCAACTTTTCCCCAACCGTGCATACAATCGTCGAGGTTCATTGTAGGCGATGTGTGTAGAACTATTATTATGTAATTGTACGAATCTTGGGTATTATGTTATTGACTTCATATTTTCGTTTAAAGTTGACTTTTTTATTGTATAGTTGATTTTTTCATTACATGAACAAGCACCCCATTGACAAATTTTCTGGCTCCGCCACTGACCTCGAACCCGTTACTTGACCGGCTCAATTACGATTTGACAACGTTAAGCAATACGAGATATTTTACCAACCATAAATAAAGTCGGGGGCGTCATATATAAGTCAACAATTCAATCTCTAGCACAGTGATTTGTTTCATTAATATTTTCTTACTTAAACTGAATTCCTTCCTTCCTATTCAGCTAGCACTGTCACTGGCGTGAGTCATCAGTCGATCTCTCAGTCCTACAAAAACCCTACACTATTAACCCCTTTCTCCGTTTACCAGCTTCGCAAGAGTACCATATTCATTAGACAGAATACAACTCGGGATTCCTTCCTCCGAAGCTTTTACCCATTCGCTGCCGAAGATGAGCCAGTTGAAGGCGTTATCTGCTTGCTCTGCCGCCACTCTCATCTCCCATGGACCCAGACGAGGTAACTACTCACTACTCCACCCCCTGTTTTGGCTCGCCAATGCCAAAGCATTCAAACTTTATTTTGCCCAGGAACTGATTGTCAACTGTGATAACCCTTGCTCCCTTTGTGGATTTTGTTTCAAAATCTTTTGGTATTGCTGTGTTAGTCTAATCCCTTTTCCTTGTCCCTTTATGATAGCAGAGGATTTGGCTTCGGCTTCCGCTTCTACCTTGAAGGTACATGATTTTGTATTCTTCTTCTCAACTTGAGTAGAGAGCGCCATTGCGTCCCACAGCTTTCTTACACAATTTTATCATTGAGTTCTGATGTTATTCTGGGTTCCCCATTGGTTTGAGTTGCAGTTTGGAGCCGGTGCAAGTGAGCTCAATGGAAGTCCACTGGTTAGCCAACATTGCAGACTTGTTAAGGCTCACAAAAGTCAAGGTGAGGCTCGTAGAAATTACAATTGAATCTTTGTTGATTCTGCATTGTAGGATGCCACACCAGGGCATTTCTCTTCTTCTTCTCCTCTTCATTGTTCCTATCCAGAGACATTTTTCCTCGCTTGTTAATGGAGCCATTATGTGTAATCTGATTACCCTTTACTCTTGTGCAAAAGTTAGTTTGAATTAGAGCTTCTGGGATGCCAACCTATAAAATTATTGTGCTAATTCTCCACTTCCCGTAATGTGTGCTTGATGTCGATATGTGTAGCTGTTCACTGAGTTGTTCTTGTGAGTTTCTTGTGTTTTCTGACTTATAAGGTTTGTGTGTGCAGTAATCAAAGCAGTTGCTTCCAATGATAAAGAAACTGTCTCGGCTGGAGCCACTAATGGCAGGGGCTTCCGAGGCAAATTGAACAAGGTTGTTTTAGCTTACAGTGGTGGTTTAGACACATCAGTCATCGTGCCGTGGTTGAGGTACACTCAACTTAAATTGTGTTGAATGTATATTTGTGTTCAAAATTTGGTATATGATTGATTGTACTCGTAAAATGTGTACTTGATGATTACGGTTGTGCATTGCCAACTTCTTATGTAGATTGAATGATTATTGGGTCAATTGTTACTTTCACTATGTTTTTTCGGAACTATACATGATAATATAACCCTGCATGTTTCCCCGGGAAGAATGTTTCCTTTCCCTTTGGTGGATGAAGTATCACTTTTCTTTCTCACCAAACAATTTCGACTCTTTCAGGGAGAATTATGGCTGTGAGGTTGTCTGCTTCACTGCTGATGTTGGCCAAGTATGGAAATTGTATCAATATCCTTAAGTTCCGTTATCAACGTTGCCCTTTTTTTGTTTGTTTGTTAATCACTGTCTTGATTTTCTTTCGTTGGGACTAATACCATAGGGCATCAAAGAACTGGATGGTTTGGAGCAGAAGGCCAAAGCTAGTGGCGCATGCCAACTAGTGGTGAAGGATTTAAAGGAGGAATTTGTGCAGGACTACATATTCCCCTGTCTTCGTGCCGGTGCAGTATATGAGAGAAAATACTTGCTAGGAACATCAATGGCCCGTCCTGTGATCGCTAAGGTGAGCTCTTTTAGAGTATCTTGTATTGGTCTCCTCCTTAGTGGCAAACCAGAAGATACACATCGCCAACTATCACACTTGGTCAATGACTATTCTATTGGTCTTATTATCTTCATCATTATTTGCTAATGTTGGACTATGTAACTCAATTGGCAGGCCATGGTTGATGTTGCCAAAGAGGTTGGGGCCGATGCTGTATCACATGGATGCACTGGGAAGGGAAATGACCAGGCATGTGTTGCATGAATGCTTGAGATTAGAATATCTGGGTTTTTTTATTAGCGTAACCTGACACTGTTAACCTGTGTGTTCAGGTTCGCTTTGAATTGACATTTTTCTCCTTAAATCCTGAGTTGCATGTTGTTGCTCCATGGAGGGAGTGGGATATTCAAGGGAGGGAGGATGCTATTGAGTATGCCAAGAAGCACAATGTACCAGTTCCAGTGACAAAGAAATCTATATATAGCAGAGATAGGAACCTTTGGCATTTGAGTCATGAGGTATGTTGTTCTGTAGTTTGTAAGGGATCTGCTTTTTGTTCCCCGTCATAATACCTTTTTTATATGCTGTTGCTCTCTTGCATTCCATGTTCCAGTACCCTAAGTAGCCACTGCGTCTAGTTTTATCCATCTTGATGAGGCGTTTCTCACTTGTATATACAATCTAAATTTTTTGCTTACTTTGTATCCTGCAACTTGAAGGGCGACATATTGGAAGATCCAGCAAATGAGCCAGAGAAGGATATGTACATGATGTCAGTGGACCCAGTGGATGCACCAAATGAGCCAGAGTAAAATTTTTACCCCAGAATCTCAAACAGATCTTCATCTTCCCTACAATTTCCCATAAGTTTGAAATTCATTTTTTATTCCTATAACCATTTGTTTGCAGATATGTTGAAATTGGGATTGTCTCTGGGCTTCCGGTTTCAGTGAACGGGAAGCAGTTGTCACCAGCATCTTTGCTTACCGAGCTAAATGAGCTTGGTGGAAAACATGGTATTGGACGGATTGACATGGTTGAAAACCGGTTGGTCGGCATGAAGAGCCGTGGGGTGTATGAGACACCAGGCGGGACCATACTTTTCTGTGCTGTGCGTGAGCTGGAGTCACTGACACTAGACCGGGAAACAATCCAAGTCAAAGACTCACTAGCATTGAAGTATGCTGAACTGGTTTATGCGGGTAGGTGGTTTGACCCCCTTCGTGAGTCCATGGATGCATTCATGCAGAAGATCACAGCAACAACTACTGGTTCCGTGACTCTGAAGCTTTACAAGGGATCTGTCTCAGTCGTGGGACGAACAAGCCCTCATAGTCTGTACAGGCAAGACATTTCATCGTTTGAGAACGGCCAGATATATGATCAAGCTGATGCTGCTGGTTTTATCAGATTGTATGGTCTTCCCATGAGGGTGAGGGCTATGCTTGAAAATGGCATGTGAAGAGAACCCTGTCGTCTCCAATTGGATTTGGACAGCTCCAGCATTTTCCTTTTTCTTTTGGCTGTTCTTAGTCCTTGCGAATTTGGAAGTTATGATGAAATGGGCTGCCAACCATATTCATAACCGTGGTCAGGAAGATGGACAATCAATCAGTTCTGCTCCTCAGATTAATGATTCCACCTTCAGAGTAGCTGCTTTTGTGTATTTTTGTTTTTGAACATCATGGGATGGGCATATGGATATGCTATCCTGCGTCCCTGAAATTGGAAGTCAGAAGATTCAATACCGATGCGTTCCTTGAAAAACTGCACTCAATCGAGTACTAGTAATTACTAGCTTATTACCCGGCTCGTTGGCCGGATTACTGTACGTTACCCACTTGTGGAATGGGAGAGAAAGCAAGTGAGAGTGAAGGGATTGGGATTCCACTTGATTAGGACCGATCCGGCCCAACCTAAAGACTCAGAAAGAGTCAATAAGAAAATACGAAAGGAGATGATTAGTCATATATCTTGACTCTTGAGAAGTGTGTCAAACAGGATCAAGGTTGGGTGAGGCAATTTTTAGCGCTAAGCAGAGCTCTGGGTTGAATAACTTTACTTAGGCCTAGAAATTGGTGCTGATGCAGACTTCAGTTTTTATTATATCATCATCAATCATCATTGAATTAGTCCTGGGCATCCCTCCCCGTTGTCGGTCTGAATTCTAATGATGGTTCATTCCTTGCACCAGCCATATCAGCAAAAGTTGTCATCTCGAGCATGATTTGCCTATGTACAAATAATACAATTAAAATATAAAACTGAATTCAAAGAAAAGGAAAAGAGAATTCTATCACATGCCAATAAATACACACATAATAGTTGAAGCTAAGTGAAAGTCATTACTCGCACATCAATTCTAAAAAATTACAGACTAAACAATGGCTAGAATGGGACTGAAACTACCAAGAATCATGGACGAAACAACTTTTCAAATTAAATAATCCTTATACTGAAACTACTTTCTAACTTGAAATAAGACATGATCACAGTTCATAGCACTTTTATCACTATGAATTAGTTGTAGCTCGTCCTTATCACTGCCTCCCAAGCTCAATTCAAACAGAATAGAGACCGTTATGTAAGATAACCATATCCTTACTGATCATAATTCCTTTCTTCACTCCATTTTTTTCGGAGAAAAGAGTTATCCCCTTCTTCTGCATTTCCCTTTCCCCCTCTCTTCTCCCTCTTCTTCACAAACCGATCCCTAAACCCGCAACAACAACACAAAAATAGCCTTCGCCTCTGCCATCTCCATCTACTGAACGCGTTGGTGGCAAGACAGGACTGCAGAAGCAAAATTTTCTAAAATCAAACTAAATTTTTTGAAGGAGACTCAACCACGAAAAAAGAGTAAAGCAACAATGCTAATAGTTCAGATGGTTGGTTTTGATGTTATACGTTGCTTTTGTTATGGTCTTTAGTATATCAACTGCAACAGAGAGGTTTCCTCCAATCATCTTTAGTGCATGATTTAGAAGTAAGTCCTCTTGTTTGTGTCAAACGGAAACATTCATGAGTTCTTAATTCCCCTGTTAGTGTAAATGCAGCAGCAGCAAAGAAGTTTGACAACACAGCAAGCACACAGGCAAAATGATACAATGCAGTAGGTAATATGTGTCTCGAAGATTTTGAGTTACTAAAGTTCATGTTAAAAATAAACATGAATTAAAATGGATTATTCTATTAAGCAAACACCCCCTCTAATCATACAAAGATTAGATATCCAATTCACAAACAATTAAGCCATAAAAAATCATCACACATCCACCACCTTTGATTCCCTAAATTTGGTTTTTCGCAAAGTTATGGACTCTTAAGGGTAACGTTCATGGGTAGTCTGTTTCATAACTCTAGAGAGCACAGTAAGCAGCCACCAGCCAGACACAGTGCGGTAGGCGAATATGATTCTCAATTGACAATTTCTCACCACCGGAAGTAAGAACATACTATAATAAACGTAGCGTTCATGGGTGGTCTGTTTCATAGCACTACTACACAATTTGTTAAAAAAGAAAGAAAGGTATTTAGCATCACGGCGGAACAACTTTTACAGGCCAACAACGACTACATGCTGCAACCACCAGAACTGGTATCACAACTCATAAGGAAAATCAAAAGATTTACTCTCAAATTAAGTAGTTACAACATCGAGCAATCGTCAAGCACATACACCATCACAAAAGTCACGGGACCTGATTCACAAAGCATTCAAACATTTGAGGACATTTCTGCAAAGGTACAACTTATATGTCTTTTCTCCAAGCCATTTCCATCAACATGCTAATAAATTTCCAATGCATAAAACAAACGGGCCAAAACTTGAAATTCAGCCTGTTTGACCGACCCATGCCAAATTCTAATTATTCTTTACTTTTAAACTTTCTATTTGAAAATAAAAAATAGTGAAAGAAAAGAGACGACTACAATTCGCCATTTGCACATAACTTGTTCGGGAATAAAACCATAGAAATTCAAAAGGAACTGAAAATGTTTAGGATCGTTTTAATGTTTAAAATAACCAAATAGATCTTTATGTTTAGTTTTTTACTAACAAATACCAAACGATTTCCTATAGCATACACTATAATCTAATCATTATGATGTCAAATAATTATAAAATATATATTTGAAATGATAAAAATTGGACTAATTGGGTTGGTCGAGGTTAAACCATTGAATAACTTTAAAATACATTATATTTTAGCCACTAAGATATAAAATAATAGCATAATATATATTATGTAAGAGAAAATAGCTTGTTTTAGAATGGAAAACCAATGATGTTCATTTGTTTTACTTGATGGCCAAATCCCATGTAGGTCAGGCCCATTCAACTCTTTTATTTTATGGTTAGCTGTTAGCCCATTAGATACCATGCATTAGTTTATTGTTAAATTTTTTTTTATTTTTAACAATAAAAAGAAGTATTATTTTTGCCTTTTCATATATATTTTATCACCACTGAGAAATAAAAGGGTATAAAGAAAAGAATTGACACTCCTGGACCCGTTTAAATTCGCATGTGTACGGTAAGTTGGCCCGTTCCACAGAGGAAAGAGAAAAAAATTGACACTCCCTATTCTACCCTTCCTACAAACGCTCCTCGAGCAGGAAATTTGAAATGGGGGAAGAGTTTTTTCCACCTTGCTATTATATGTTTTTAATTTAAAAGGATACAATAAATGTACTTAGTGTGATTGGTTATGATCCTTGCCTTTCTTTAAAATGATCATGGTTCGAATCCCAGTACATATATTTTTAATGAATAAAAAAACGTAATTGTGAAGACCAAAATGTCCTTCCTACTTTCACTCTCGTTGCAGGAAATTTGAAATGGGGCTCTCGTTTTCCGCTTCGGTGTATTATAATATGTGTAGACTAAGGGTGATAAACGGTTGCCGGTTAGTCGGTTAACCGTTTAACCGAACCAAAATTTTTGGTTACTCGGCTAACCGATAACTATTTATTAGAGGTGTCGGTTAGTGGTTTACTGGAAGATGGCTAACCAATTGGTCTTCGGTTAGTAACCAAAATTCAGACGGTACACCGACTAACCGAGACCCAACTCACCCAGCCCGCCATACCAGTCCACTCCTCTCTTCACTCTCCACAATGACGCCGTCTGACTAACCAAAACCACACCGACTAACATGCCTAGTAATTATATATCATACTATAACCAATTCAAAGAGTTGAACTTAATTAACCTAAGCTATATTACCGAGCAGAGAAACATACAAAGAAAATTCACCAAGCACAAGTTCAAAAGTAAATCTACATCTCTACAAATCTATAAAATTTATGATGGAGATTCACCACTCCATTTTGCTGGGATTTGAAATTCCGGCGCCCAAAGCAATTCACGGATGTCCTTTTGTGACATTTCACCAAGGTTTACTCTACCGTACCGGTCGGACCGGATAATAGACCCACAACGCTAGGCGATTTTAGCGGTAGGAAACGATTCAATTATGGTTAAACCATGATTTTAGTACAAAATACCCTACCGTTTACTTCCCTGGTATAACCTCCAGTACGGTTTCTTGACCCTTGCATTTCACTCCTTTTAGTTGTGCAGTGCGTTTTATATAACCTGGGCAAACTTGGGCTTTGACAGCTGAAGTGAGAAGGTTCGTTATATAATACTCTCGGTCCAACTATTAAAGAAGCCTTCTACAGTCCTAGCCTTTCCGGCCGGTAACACAATTTTTAACTCAAAGCCTCAACCACAAGCCCACAAGAGAAGCCCAAAAGGGAAATGAAAAACGATTAAATCAATAATTAGTTTTTTTTTTTAACATAGACAGGGATAATCAAAAGTCACATAGTCAGAGTACAGAAAATAACGCCGTGCGAAAGTCGACCAGTAGTCGAGCTTCCGATGAAAGGGCTTGTTTTGCCACAAAATGGGCGGCCCTGTTAAAGCTACGCTGAGCGTAGGAACACGAACAGAAGTAAAACGACTGCGCCAACCGGTGGATATCCTCCAATATAACGCCGAGTGCGAATGAAAGCTCCCCATTCTGGCTGAATCCGACAAAGCCCACACTGCCACCCTGAGATCGGATAACAGCGCCATAAAAATGGACAAGTGATAGACCGTCATTTACACATGTTTTTACCCTCATACTTACACCGTTTGAGGTGTTGATTCTCGTGTTTTAGGCTGATTTCACGCTAGGTTGTGCTTGTTTGTGTTATTTCAGGACCTAGTACGTGAATGAAGGCTTAGGAGCGAGTCTGGGGTCGATTGGACGCAGAACGGACGAAGGGCGAGCTTTTTGGGGAGTGCACGGGCAGACCAGGAGGCTGCACGGCCGTGCACTTGAGCCATTTGGCCGTGCACCTCATGTCGAGGCCATGCACGGCCAGACCCTGAAGATTGCACGGCCGTGCGCCTGGCCGTGCAAGGTGGATGAAGGCCGAATAATTGATACGGTCCGTTTTGAGGGTGCACGACCAGAATGGTGTTGTGCACGGCCGTGCACCTGGCCGTGCAACTCGGGAAAGTCGGTTTTAAAGCCTAATTCGAGCCAAAAGTGGGAGAATCGTTTTTTGAGAGCAAAAACAGAGCCCTAGAGAGAGAAAGTGCGAAGAACTCATCCTAGAAGCCGTCTAAGAGCTGGATTTCATCGAATCGAGCTTGGAGATCGTCATAGGAGTGGAAATCATCGTCCCGGAGCAGATTATCCTCATCGTTATGAGTATGACTAATCCGATTCTTGTTTTCTCTTCTCTCTCTATGGAGTAGAACCCTTCTCTCACTTGGGTATGAAGAACCCTAGTTC